AAGACTGTCACATTTTTATGACATTACTTTCTCAAAGTCTACGAACGCATACTAGATCACGATAATTTACACGTGGATCCGTATACAAATCTAACTATGTTGTAAGGTTTTATCTGCTTTCAACTATAATTAATCAGGAATCTTTTAGAAATTACTCATAAACTTGGTTTCAATCTTGCCCATATTTTAAACTCATTCATTTTCTATATCGGAAATTTTAGGAAGGGAGTAATTTTAGTTTTTGAATAAATTCTTAGTCTTAACAAATTTGTTTAGCCAATTTTAAAAAAAAATCGACCGGATAAGCCGATAATTTGCTTTAGCCTACTATCCTGAAGTTAACAATCCATATAAATTTCTACTCATGCCCAATCACTAATCGACAAACCGAGCGCAGATTCATTTTATTGCAAGAATTGACCATAATATTGTTAAATATCACAGAAAAGACAATTGTTGAACTTAATCCTGTTGATGATAATGAACGGGTTGTACAAAACAGTACTAAACAATATTCAGACATGGCAGTATTTGTGAAACTGTTGGAAACAAAAAAATGATTAAATGTATAACATCAAGGTTTCTGGGTAGGAATGGATCAGTCCGGTCCCAATAAGACCAGTCCATTAACATTTTTTGGTCCGGTCTCGGTCCCAAAAGCGGTCCCGGCCTTTAATTATCCTATGGCTAGCAGAGAGAATTAAATCATATAACATCAAATAAACGATTGTCTAAAATAATTTTTTATGAAGACCGATCCGAACTGATCTCAGGACCGGGACCGGTTAATCATGAGACCGGTTAAAGAGACCGGTCCTTATTCGGTCTTTCCAGGATTGATCCATCCTTATTTTTGGGTAATGTTCTAATAGTCAAATGTTTTTTATGCTAATTAACCAATTTGATTAATTAAATTTATTAAATACGTATGATATTAGATGATGGGTTAGATGCATGAAGTGTTAAAAATTTAATATTATTATATAGATAATAAATAAATCACCAATGAGTTGATTTAAAAAATTTAAATCAATGCCGGCCGATAAGTAAACTGAGATTGTCCACGTCAATATTGTACGTCGCTTAATAACAGTACGGCACGTTCAACGATTGCCTCATTACGCGCAGAAAATGTAGGGCAGAAAAATACCAGAGGTTCTTCCATTAACGATTTGCGATTTCCAGCATTTTCGCGAATATTTGTACCTACGTCCAATAAAAATGCACCTAAATAGTTTTGCTTCAAATGTAATGGAACATGTGAAAAGCCGTGGACAAGGTAGATGCGGTTAGGGTTGACAGTTGGGATCCGAATCACACGGAAAATATTATCGATTTCATCCCACTTCTTGTCCGATAATAAACGTTGAAATTCGGTCCATTGCTGACTGTCTAACAATTGTTCCCAATCGGCAAACAGTAATGGGTTTTGTGATTGCAATGTTGTCTTTCCTTCACCTGATGGTATGGCAGCAAACAGAGGTCTATCAAGTTTAAAGGTAACAATTTTGTTTCTAATGGAATAATTTAATTGAAACGAAATTGGATCATGCGAAACTTTATTCTGATTATGTGGAAACAAATAAATAAATAAAAGAAGGGTTAAAATTCTTGATTGGTTGAAATAAAGTTTTTGCAATCACAAATATAGGGATCTTGTATATCACCACATTCAATTTTGATCTTGGGTGCGATACAGCCATAGCAGTATCATAAATGATTTTGGATCCTTGATTTGACATGACCTCGGAAATATCAGTTAGAAATTGTAAGTTTTCCTAAGAGCAGTGAGCGACTATTAAACCTTGTTGCAGGCATCTTACTGTAACTGCTTATGCCATAACGGCATAAGCTATAAAATCATATCAGTTTAGTCTTGCAGACAATTTTAGGAATACGAATCCGATTTTCAAGCGCATTCAGATCAAAATAGATATTCATGCGCATTATAATTAAGAACAGTTAGAACAGATATTCATGCGCATGATCATATTCATGTCTATCTGTTACGTACTTAGATTAGTCGTAGCAGCATCACCAACAATTTCTGACCTGACCCAGCCTGAAAAAAAAGGTGTAACATGATACATAAACATTTTAGTTATCATTTTTAGTTATCGTGGTTTATCATGGTTTGATTTCAATAGTTATCGTTATCATTTGAATTTTCAGGATGACTCTAAGTCGGGCTAATCTTAACTTTTGATGGAAAATTTTAATTGCATAATATATTTTAATAATCTATATTATTATTATTTCCAATAATTTATGTATAAAGTAAAGGGTGTATTATGGAAAATGGGTAAAATGACGAATTAAACATATTGTAAAAAAAAAAACTTGGCTTTACTATTTCACTAAGTTGTTCTCAATAACTTTTATTTATTTATTTATTTAGTCAACATTGCCGCTTTACCCTCATTAAATCAAGAATTGTAGTTTTCTACGTAACATTGTATAATTTATATGAAGTATCATTTTTACAATTAGAAGTAATCTCAAAGATTTTTATTACCGTAAAATTCGGAATATAAGTACCACCTTCCACCTCACAATTTTAGATTAGTAAAGATAGCAATAAAACTTTATCTAAATTATTCCTGTCAATCTGAGATTGAAAAAAGTAGAGTAGAGGGCATATTGCATATTTTCCGAGTTTTACAGTATAGGTAGTGATGGGACTAGAAGTTAGGGTGAATGGCATACCACCATTGGGCATGCCATTGCAGCATGCCAGGTCATGGCATGCCCAAATTTTTAAAACCCTATTGGGCATGGCATTATTAGTAAAATTACATTTTAAATAATTTGATTGGCTGAACAAAAAACCAAAAAAAGTAATATTATAATATACAATAAATATTTCATTAATATTTATATAAAATATATCGTGACATGCCAGTAGCATGCCTATAGTGTGGCCTGGTATAAATTTGACTAATGGCATGCCAACTGGCATACCAAATTATTTAGTCGTGCCAGCAATCCTGCTAAAAGTGCTAAAAATTAAAATATCATACGCTGTGATCTATCAAAAAAAAAAAAGAAAAAAAAATTGGAACTTAATAAATTATTAAATGTAACAATTAAGTATCACCATTTTTTAACCCCGTAGTCCCATCACTGGGTATAGGTGGTCCATTGTTGATTAATATTGCTGTATTAGAGAAGCCACATATACTGCAGGAAATTGACATCGTCATTTCACCCGTCTACTTTATGTAAAACGCAATCGGATCAGCAGATTTTTGAGTTTAAAATTTTACGCTCCAGACTGCATTTGTAATCAGAATCAGTATATAATCGGTAATGCAATATCATGTTTAGAGATGGGCAAGGTACCGTATTTTACGGAATAATAACCCCGAGAAATTATAATATGCTTATTTATAACCAGTTATAATGTTAAGGAGGGTAATAGAAATGGTTACTATACTAAGGGGCATTGGAATTGAAATATAGTTAAATTATACATAAGTTCACATTTAATCCATTTAATCATCTGATTATAGTGCCCATTATATAAATCATACATTACACCCGGATTTTTTTTTTTACCGAAAAAAGGAAGTAAGGGTGTTATGCTAAGGAGGTATATTATTTCACAAAATACAGAAATACGATAATAGAATAAGTGACTTATTTTATTACCTTGGCCATCTCTAAGCATGATATTGTAAATGTTGTATTACCGATTCTTATTACAAATGAAGTCTAGAGTGTACTCAATAATCTGCTGATTGCATTTGCATAAAATAGGGTGAAATGACAAAGTTGGTTTCCCGCAGTATGTGTGGCTTGGTTAAAGATAGCAATAAAACTTTATCTAAATTATTCCTGTCAATCTGAGATCGAAAAAGTAGGTAGGGTAGAGGCTGTAGTGCTTATTCTCCGAGTTTTACGAGTTTTACGATATAGGTGGTCCACGTGTAAATTATCGTGATCTAGTATGCGTTCGTAGACTTTGAGAAAGTAATGTCATAAAAATGTGACAGTCTT